AACAAAACCGACAGTAAACTAAACCCACCCAGGTATCAGAACTTATGAAGAAAACAAGAAGAGATTCAAAAGAATTAAACCAAACAAATTCCTACAAAAGAAGCAAGTAATCTCAAATCAAACACAAACAACAATCAAAAACATGTCCGAAACATTTGAAGTGACTTACCAGTAGATTGTTCTGGGTCTGTCTACGTCGGTGATTACAGTAGTAGAAGCGCGCGTATATATTATCCACATAAACTGCTTTTATATTGCGACTTTTTAGATGTAATTAAACTTTACTGCTTTTTTCAACAATTTTCATTCTACAAATGTGATTTCTCTAATTGGTCGTCAATTTGATTTTTATTATTATGTAGGTGTTATTTTAATTCATTTATTAAATGAAATATTAAATGTTTACCAAAATTTTCATGCTTTCTTTTATAGTTCTGTACATCGATCTAAAATATCGACATCTCCTCTAAATATGAAATTGACAAATGACTTAAATTACACTATTAAAAATGGGAAGTAATCAAATTCAAAACAATCTACATTTTAATAATATTATTACTTGTATACATTTTAATAATATTTATAATAAAATGATATATTTTTTATAAATTAATAAAAATAACACTTTCTTACATCTTTAATACAACAATAAATCATTTTTTTTATTTTTTTAAACTAAGTCCATAAAATGTGTGAAAAAAATATCAAATAATAAATTTTACAAATTAATAAAATTTTAAGTGGTAAAATGTGTGATTAACATACCCTTTCATCGTAAAACATATCATTCTCAACTACAGAATGCAATTATGGCAACACTTTTTCTTACTTAATTCTCAACCACTATACAAAATATTTTTCAATATATATATATATATATATATATATATATATATATAAAATAAATTAATCATATTTCTATATCAATCTTTATTATAAAAATTTAATTTAAGTGATAGATTTTCTAATAATTGTAAAATATAGCATTAGATCAATCAATTTGATCCATCTCAGAGGACTAAAATATTTTTAAAAGATGAATAATATTTTTAAAAGATGTTTTACGGTTTAATCATATTGTTAATAAAATATCAATTCTATAATTTAGGATATGATAATAACAGATATTGATATGGGATGAAGTGATAGTATTATGTATTTATAAATAGATAACTCATCTGGAAAAGATGAAAATAAATCAGATCCTACAGAATGACTACTACAACAGAACCACGCAAGATGGTCTAAAACTATCGAAAGCTGAGGATGTTATTTGTATAAACTAGAGTCGAAACCTGAATTCCCACTACCAACCACTTATCTTAAGGCATTTACAAAAGCCATCAAGGAATCAACATCTCTCTTTTCTGAGGGATACTTTATTGGCCTAGACGAATGCTTTGGGAAAAACATTACTGTAGGGAAGCTTCCTAATTCAAGTTCACGCCTTGCAAATTCTTTCTGCTCTCCATCCGCTCTAAATTTCCCTACCTTCATCCCTGACCCTTCTAACCTCTGCGCCAATTCAACATAAGATTCCTCCATAGCCTGTTGCAATTCATGATATGAAATCTCATTAGATAACAGATATTTCAATCCGACTGACCTTAGTGAGTGGGCAATCTTAACGGAACACAACAAGTTGAGTTTACCTGGCAATAGGGGCACCATGGTGCATAAAGCACAACGAGCCATGGTTCTTTCCTGTCCTCCAACTTGGCCAAATTCTCAATTCCTGTCCTGCTCAAGCTAACTACATTCTGGCTGTTGAAAATGTCAGGCACAGTGGCAGCACCGTTTGCATGAGATTGGGATACCCCATTTCCATTCCCTTCATCCTGCTGCTTTAAATTTCCTTTGTGAAGGCCACATTCCTTAGCTTTCGCATCCTCCCACCACCACCTCCCTTCCCTTTCATGTTGTCCAGGTAAAACAGGCCTAGTGCAGGGCTCACACCCAATCGAAACATACCCCTGTGAATGCAAGGAATTGACAGGCACATCCATGGTCCTGAGGAAGTTCCAAATGTCATTGCCCTTCACATTTGCGACCGGGTTCCACTTCACCAAGCTTCCGATTCCACCATCCATTCCCTCAAAAACCGGATCGACCTGAACAACCGGTATTTCGGACCTAGTACCAGGTGACTGGTCTTTCCTTTGACCTGTTATCCAAGCTCTGAGACCCTTGAGGGCCCTCCTCAAAGGTCTCACCTTCCTCACCCTGCAACACTCTTGATGACCATCCTCGTAGAAAGAGAACAAACCCTTATTCCTCACCAATGCCTGAACCTCAACAGCATCAGGAAACATGTACTCAATGCGGATCCCATAATGCTTCTCAACCGCATCAAACAACTGATAAGTTTCCGGGTTCAGTCTCCCAGTGTCCAGACTGAAAACCCTGAAGGGTCGACCCGTCAACTTTGCATACTCGATCAAAGCAACATCTTCAGCACCACTGCAAAGCCGCCATGTATAAATAATAATTAGAATAGATAAATTTTCTTGTTTTACAATTAACGGAATCAGCAACGAGGGTGGTGTTGATTACCTGAATGCAATGGCAATGTCGTGGCCGAATGAGGCGAGGGCTCTATCCATGATTTCAAGAGGTGAGGCATTGTCGAGATCAGTGGCTATCCGTTGAAGATCTTGCTCTTTGGTCTCTGATGACGGAATAATGACGTGGTTGCATTAGCAGTTGCACGTGTGCATGATGAATTCGAAATGAATTGATTTAGAAAACGTACCGGAAGCAACCATGGCCGTTGCTGCTGCTGCGAGAGGAAGAAGGGAATCCTTACGAGGAGGTTGGGCGTTAACGGGCTTTGCGAAACTCTGTCTGATATTAACGGCGGCTCCATTGGGCCTCTCCGAAACGGTGATTGATCCAATTTGCGGGGTGTTATTCCGGTCTGATGGTGGAAATTTGAAGGAGGAGGATGTGGAAATTGAAGAAGTGAAAGCGAGGGCCATAATGGGAAATAAAAGGAAAATTCTTGTGAGAAATGGTTCAAGAGTAATCGAGTTGCGTTGGTATATATATATATAGAAGAAGCAACGAAAGCAAAAGCAAAAGCAAATTAAGAAGCTAGCGGACATTAAGGTTCATTGAATATGGTCATAGGTTTTTTGGATGCTTACGTGGCATGCGGGGAATGGATGGTTGGGAGCGTGTGGCCTCATCGCTTCCGTCAGATCTCCCATTCTGATTGAATTCTATCACGTTTTCGTTGACTTCTTCCCTTCTAAAATCATCACTCATTGCTGCATCAACTCATCTATTTCTCCGATTCTAAATAAATTAACCGATTGTCTTCTGATGAAACATATTTTTTATTTATATATAATTTTTTAATTTTAAATTAATGTAGTTATTGAAAGAGTGAAATTGTTCAAAAAGATAACAAATATTTTTCTGGATATTTATGAGGCTATAGCATTAATCCACTAATGCCTGCATGTATTCACTTACGTTACGTAAGTATTTTGTCAACGTTTTTAATAATCAGTAATCTAGAGAGAATCTAACTAGAGCACAAAAATTAAACGCTTCATGATTCACCACTATTGTAATAATTTCTAGACTTGATCTTCTTTTTCTTTTTTAAATATCCAACAAGAAAAACGAAAGAAAAAAATGATTAATCAAATCACAATATGCATTTCAGACAAATATGTTTCCATTTTCAGCTAGTTAGTTAATGATGTCTTGTCTTAGTTAACTTGGTTGCTCAAGATTATTTACTATAAGCTGTTATTTCTTGTTTTTCTTCTCTATTATATATATATATATATATATATATATATAAAAGCTACATTATTCTTAATGTGAAATATAAATATTACTGTTTTAGACGTAGAACCCTTGAATATATCGAAGAGAAGGATAAAATTAAACAAATAATGTATTTGAATTTTTATTTAGTCAAGATTATTTACTATAAGCCGGTTAAAGAATTTTTATTTGAATTTTTTTTGTTCCTTGTTTTTTTTTTATGTTTATTTATATTTTTTTCTTATATTAAAATATTGTAATATTGTAATAATAATAGAAATTTTGTTATATTTTCTTGTATTTGTTACGAAAATTTTCTTATATTTTTTTAGTAATAAAATTGTATGATATTAAAATTAAATTAACTAAAATTTAATTATAAAAGTTTCTTAATCGATTTTAAAAAATGGGTTAAAGAGTCAAAAAGTGTAGAAGAGAGAGAAAAGAAAAGTAAAAAAAAAGTTAACTTGATAAAAAAAAATTGTTAAAGATTATATTTGTAATTTTGTAAGTGCAAGAAGAAGATGTAAAGAGAAACACTCATGTGTATATCTACATGATTTTTTATTAAACATAACAAAGAAGGAATGAAATCTATTTTTTTTTAATTTTGAATGATTTTTAGTGAATAAAAAAACTATTTCAAAAGAATGTAATGGAATATGAATTTTGTTATTGAATAATATTATTAAATGTAATGGGTATTAAAAATAGTATTTATCGATAGATAGTTAGACGATGTGAGAAGGAAGGAGTAGTTAAAAAAAGATGGTTAATTACTTATTTAGTCTAAAAAAGGGAAGGATAGGGTTTAAGTGGTTTTAGTTAGTTAAGGAAGGAAGCGAAAAGAGCGGTGAGAAGAAGGGTTGAAAAGAAATGAATGGCTCCTCTGATTCGGTCTCGTGCTGGGTCTCTTACTCTCTCCATTTCCCACCTCCAATTCATGTCACACCCTCCCTCGTCGTCTCCTTCCTGGACGACGGCGAGTGGCACCCCTCCCCGCATCCACCGCCGTATCGCCTCCGTCTTCAGCCGCCCCTGGATCAAAACACTTAAACGCTCAAAAACCGCCGACAGGCTCTACGAAAAATACCTCCGAGCCTACAAGGCCAAATAAAGCATCACCCTGCAATGCACGCGATAACCCCTTTCCTGCATTGCATCACTATCACCAATTCCTCCTGATTTTTTGACTAACCAATCCAGATTACACAGAAATAATGTCTCATATCATGCCACCCTTCCAGTTATTGGAACTCAGCATCATTTCGGCTCAGGACCTGGCTCCGGTTGGTCGCACCATGCGAACCTACGCGGTTTCATGGGTCCACCCGGACCGGAAGCTCTCAACATGCGTCGACACGCAGGGCCTCACCAACCCAACGTGGAATGACAAGTTCGTCTTTCGCGTCGACGAGGACTTTCTCTGCTCCGATTCCTCTGCCATCATGATTGAGATCTACGCGCTACATTGGTTCAAGGACATTCACGTCGGCACCGTCCGTGTCCTCGTCGGAAACCTCGCCCCTCCACCCTCGCGCCCCTCCCAGACCAACCGCACCTCGTTCGGCACGCGTTTCGTCGCACTTCAGGTCCGCCGCCCCTCTGGCAGACCCCAGGGGATACTCAACATTGGCTTCACCATCCTCGACGGCTCCATGCACAACATTCCACTCTACACTCACAACCCCTCCGCCGTTGGCTACCGCCACCTTATGGGAGAGAAGGACGCCTACGACAGCCACAACCATCTTAGCCCCCACGTTCTCGCCGCCGCCAGCCCTAAGCCCGAGCTTCGCCGCACCAAGAGTGACACGAGCTCCGTTGTGGCCTCGGAAGCCGTGGCGCGGAAACACCGAGCCGTGGCTAACCATAACAGAGCGAACTCCAACATTTCAGCATACCAAGTTAACTTGGATAACACGAAGAAAGGAAAGAAGAAGAAGTCGAGGACCGAGAGTAATATCAACGAAGAAACGAGCTCTATGCTCAGTGACACCGTTGAGCCCTGGAAGATTAAGAGCGGAAAAGCGAGTCCTCATGATGATGATATACTCCACGAGGAGGAGATTTCGCCACTTCAGCACTACCAAAACGATGCCGCTTACGAAGATGTTCATAACCAGCACCATGACCACGACGCGCATTCCGACGCGAACTCCGATTCCGACATTAGCATTGGCGAAAACAACTTTGTTACCGACACAATGGAGGAAGAATACGTTCCGGTTAACAACGTTACTTACGAAGTTCGCGCCACCCCAAAACACCAATTCCGAAACTCTCCAGCGCCACACTATCTAAATTCGCCTGCACCACAGTTTAGGAATTCTCCGGCAAGGCAGCATATGAGTTCACCGGCACCGCAATTTAAGAACTCGCCCGCGCCACAGTATATGAACTCTCCGGCATCGCAGTATAAGAATTCTCATGAACCACATTATATGAGCTCTCCGGCGCCGCAGTTTAAGAATTCTCCGGCACCGCATTATATGAGCTCTCCAGCTCCGGAATTTAAGAATTCTCCGACGCCCCAGTACAAGAATTCTCCGAAACCGCAGTTTATGAATTCTCCGGTGCCACAGTTTAAGAACTCTCCAGCACCGCAGTACATCAGTTCTCCGGCGCCGCAGTTTAAGAATTTGCAGAATCCGCAGTATATAGCATCTCCGAAGCCGCAATATATGGCATCTCCGAAGCCGCAATATTTAGCATCTCCGAAGCCACAATATTTAGCCTCCCCGAAGCCGCAATATTTAGCCTCCCCGAAGCCGCAATATTTAGCATCTCCGAAGCCACAGTTTCGGAACTCACCGGCGGTGGTGGCGTCGCAGTTCCGGCAGTCGCCGACGGTATCGAAACTCAATCCGAACAGGGGGACGCCGATGCATTCGTACGGGAAGGTGAACGGTGGGATTGAGTACATGACACCGCGAAGGTCAAACTTGGGGAACATGGCACAGATGGTGATGACGGAATCGGAGCTGGGACCGTCCCCGTCAGAAGTGGCCGCGGCGATAGCGAGAAAACCAGTAATTGACGAGGGGGAAAACGAGATGGCGGGAGGGTGGAGCTTGGACGGAAGCATGGAGGGGTTACAGTCGAAATTGGAGAGATGGCGATCAGACCTGCCACCAGTGATTGATCAGGGCGAGCTCTCTAGCCACCCGACATCGAGCACAAAGACGAGTCGCCACTCCCGGAGGCACACGGACGGAGGTAGTACACCGAGTGGAGGGGGTGGTAGGAGTAGGGGTGGGGGCGGGGGTAAGGGTAAGGGTCGTAGTGGGAATGGGTTGTTCTCATGCTTTAGCAAGATCTGCGGTGTTGAATGCTACGTTGGTTGCGGCAGCGACTCTAAAGGAAAGAAGGGTCGCCGTCGCTCTTCCTCCATGGAAGACAATACCAGCAGCCTTCTCTGATGGATCCAAACCCACTACAACATGGGAATATTCATGTGCCTTATTGAAAAATGTTGTTTCCATGTCATCAATACACTCTTTGGAGAATGAGTCTCCATGGGATATACATGTCAAGTACTCGAGTAAACTATTTTGTGCTTAAATAAACATGCTTGAGTAAGCCTTTATGTGGCAAATTTCAAGTTTCATGTACCTAAACTCATTGACAATTCTTGTTTGATAACGTGGGAAATTAACTATAAGAAAAAACAGACACATTGTGATGTAATGTAGCAGATGAATTTCAACAGAAACCCTTTCATTTTAAGAAATGAGCTTTTATGTTTTATGTCAAGTTACAGAGCATCTCGTTAAAATAAATACGTCGTCTAGGATATTTTCGAGCACTTACTAGTAAAAGGACAAAAACCAAAAACTTTAAGAAATAAAAAGGAATGTAGTGAATCTTTTAAATACAAGCGAAGAGCAAAGTAAAAAGAATTTAACTTAGTAAAATCTTTTATAGAAGATTATATTTGTAATTTTGGAAATGCATAAAGAAGGAAAATAAGTGCAGAGAGAAACACTCATCAGACACACGCCATCACTGTCAAGTTGCAGAGTTCTTGTCACTTCTCAAGTGCTCTCGTCTGTACATCAAAGTTAATTAATTACCTTTCAAGGAGATATGGCCAAATGAAGTTACTCAATTCTCATTAGTTATGCCTCGGATCCTAGACACTAGAGTTGGTGTAGAGTCAGTCTAGTAAAACTACTGTGTAACGTGGGATATATACATGTACGATAAAATAATGCAAGTTATAACTAAAATGACCAATATTAGTTTTGCATTTTATGTTTGGTATGGTTGAATAAACTGTTAGCAATGAAATAGTGATGATCCGATGGAAAATTGAGCCGACAAAATGGTATTTTGCAGAAAATGCAGCAGTGAGTGTGAAGTGGGAGAAGTAAAAATTCTTACGTTTTACATTTTTGCTTTGTTGCAAGAACAACTGTTTCAAGTTCAACAGAAACATTGCGACAATTCTTTTGTCCATTAATATATATAGTCTTTATTATGTCTACTCTTGCTTAGATTTTTACCATTTTTTAGTTAAAGGTCTATTATTTGGATCATAGGGTGTGAATATGTGGTGAGTTTGTGGTTGAGGAACCCACTGGGGTGAGTTTGCTTTCCCTTTTCTTCTTTAAGCAAACATAATGATCGTTAATCTTTAGTTATTTATCGTAATTATTATTAAAATCTAAAGCTTCAAAAGTAGCAAATAATTTGAGTGGCGTGTGGTGGCACAAACTTAACTTTCTTGAGATTAAGCAATGAATAGATTAAGGGGTATTGGACTATTCACAGATTTGACAATGGTGAAGGGTTGATTGGATGGTTGTGATGTAGGCACTATGGTGTAGCAATGCATTAGCACAAGATTCTGTCTTTCTGCTTCAACATGTGTTTTCCATTATGCCATGTATGTGCTCGTGGTAGTTTAATTAACACAGCCAACTGTGTTTCTCTGTTTGCATCCGGAGCAAAACTGTCATTCCTGCTACTTTTCTGAATCTTACTTGTTTTGTTGCTAACAGGGATTTCACATGTTGAAATCAATATCAATTCTACTGATTTTATTCACTCGTTTTGTACCTCTCAACTAGATTAAAAAAAGTTAAATCTGGTTAGCTTTTCTCATCCCAATTAAGATGCCAATGCAAAGAAAAATACACTTTCCTTTCTGCTACCCCGTTAAAAGTACATAGCATAGAAATTTAGAACAGATTTTAAAGTTATTCAGCGGCAACACATGTTTAGAGCATGCTTTGGGTAGAAAGTAGAAACAGAGGGAAGGCAAAGTAGACCAAAAAGAAATGGGGAGCAAAGCCACTGTCTTGCACCAATGAACTGTTGAATTACTGTTTTACCCAATTTCTTCAAGTTTCTACTTTCATTTGCGCAAATGTCCAAACTCTGACAGAAAGCCAAGCCCCTTTCCCAAATTAAGTCCGTGAGATGTCTTTTTTGTTAATCCAAATTTAATAATTAAAACATATTTCAACTTTGTGTGGGTGAAGGACATGGAACAAAGAAATAGCTTCAAAATTTCAAAACCCCTTTTGGAGGATTTGCCCTTTCTTAACTTCTCTTTATTAAAGAGTAAAGAGAAGTATAAATAGATTGTTTTATTATCATCCTTTGCTATAGGGTATATAGGGTTGTAGTTGAAGGGCATTTTAGAGAAAGGAGCAGAATCTGAAAAGGAGAGAGAAGAATAGTTTGCAGTAAAGTGTGAGAAGAGAGTGAAGTAAGTTCAACAAACCAACATCTCCATTATTTGGTGGATATCTCTCCCCGATTCATCAATTCTTTAACCCCATCCCTCTTGGCCACATTTTCTTCTTCTCTTCAACAAAATTCCACCTACCTTAAATACTAAATAATATTTAAGTAACTAATAATAATAACAATCTTTTGATGAGATAATGCAAGGATTTGCGGCTGAAGCAGAAGCAGAAGCAGGGGAGGAGGAAGTGAAGTTCACCCTCCTTTTCAATGGCAAACTCTAAGCTCCTCCTTCTCATTCACATCCTCTTCCTCTCTTTCTCCGCCTTCGGTAACCGACAAACTCCCAAACTCTTCAAAAATTCTCCAACTTTACCGATTAGCAGTGCTCAATTATAGTAATTAACTTGCTTTCAATTTGCATTGCAGCTGAAGCAGAACCACTACATTCCCTGCTGAAGGACCAAAATGGAGAGGAAGAGGAGAAGCTTCCATTCGTGGGCGTCAACATCGGCACGGACGTCTCTAACCTTCCTCCAGCCTCGGACCTGGTCGCGTTCCTTCAACTGCAGAAGATAACGCACGTGCGAATCTACGATGCCAACCCGGACATCCTCAAAGCCTTGTCGGGGACAAAGATTCGGGTGATTATCAGCGTCCCCAACAACCAGCTCCTCGCCATTGGCTCCTCCAACGCCACCGCAGCTTCGTGGATCGACCGAAACGTCGTCGCTTACTATCCCCAAACCCTAATCGCCGGAATTTCCGTCGGTGACGAGGTTCTCACCACCGTCCCCTCCTCTGCCCCCCTCATTCTCCCCGCCGTTGAGTCCCTCTACAATGCCCTCGTCGCTTCCAACCTCCACCAACAAATCAAGGTCTCAACCCCCCATGCCGCCTCCATCATTCTCGACCCTTTCCCTCCCTCTCAGGCTTACTTCAACCAAACCCTTGTCTCCTTCATGCTCCCTCTCCTTCAGTTCCTCTCCCGCACCGGTTCCCCTCTCATGATGAACCTCTACCCCTACTACGTCTTCATGCAGAACAAGGGCGTGGTTCCTCTCGACAATGCCCTCTTCAAACCCCTCACTCCTAACAAGGAAATGGTCGATCCCAACACCTTGCTTCACTACACCAATGTGCTCGATGCCATGATCGACTCTGCCTATTTCTCCATGAAGAACCTCAACATCACCGATGTTGTTGTTCTTGTCACCGAAACTGGGTGGCCTGCCAAGGGTGACTCTAAGGAGCCTTATGCCACCAGAGACAATGCCGATACCTACAATTCCAACTTGATTCGGCACGTGTTTGATCGCAGTGGATCCCCTTTGCATCCAGAAACTACTTCCAGTGTGTTTATCTACGAGCTCTTTAATGAAGACTTGAGGGCTCCACCGGTGTCGGAGGCCAACTGGGGTTTGTTTTACGGGAACTCTACGCCGGCGTATCTGCTTCATGTGTCCGGAATTGGGACCTTTTTGGCGAACGATACCACCAATCGGACATACTGCATTGCCATGGATGGGTTTGATTCGAAGACGTTGCAGGCTGCGCTGGATTGGGCTTGTGGACCCGGAAGGGCCAATTGTTCGGAGATTCAGCCTGGGGAGAGTTGCTACCAGCCTAATACTGTGAAGAACCATGCGTCTTATGCGTTTGATAGCTATTACCAGAAAGAAGGCAAGTCTCAAGGAACTTGTGACTTCAATGGGGTGGCTATGATCACCACCACCGATCCCGGTAAGTTCAGTTTTTAGTTTTCTCATTGTCATTTTGCTAAAAATTAAGCTGCAATCGGAAGCAAGAAAAACAAAAGATAGATCTTTAGTTAACTTTATTAAATGGGTTGCTGTTTTAGAGTAATTATTGTTGGTCTTTCTTGTTTTCTCTAATTAGCATACCTAAAGTTTGTGGCAATGCTGCACAATTAACTGATTAACAATAAAAGGAAAAGTTTTATGCGACTATTGTGAGAGATGTTACTTATTCTTGGTAATTAAAAGCTTAGATGAGAGGTGGTTTCAGGAAACTCATTAGGATCATGCCATGACCATTAGTGAATCGAGGGTTTACTGTGCTAGAGACTTTACTCTTTCTGTAATGAAAGTTCATGTAAACAGTTTTAGGAAGCTCACTATGGTAAATAGCAATTACTGATTAGAGATTTTACTTATGATAAGAAACGGGGAAACGATTTGAAAATAGAGGTGTGGGAGGTAATGATTCGAGGCACTTTTGTGTGTGGTGCCCACACACTGCAAAATGCCCCCTTTGGTTTGGCATTATTATGTGAAAATTGAAAGAGAAAGGGGGAGCTGGCAATTGCATTTGCATGGACTGGCACCCACTCCCATGACTTAGTTGGACACTGGTTTGTCTGAGAGCACACTGATTCTCCTGACAAATGCTAGGATTCTGGACCGTGTTTCTAGATTACCTTCGTGGAGTTGTAATTTTCGTACTCTCCAATTTTTACAGGGCAATTTCTTACTGTAGTCTTGCTTGCTAGCTCCACCAAGTAGTACTTTTGAGATATTATCAGTGCAGAATGGGCTCCACAGTTTTGTGTTTTTTTCTCTTTGTTGTCTGTTTCCAGGTATAATATAACACTTGTGGTTAATATGTTTTTTTTCTCTTTTATGTGGGGAATACCCTTGCAGGTCACGGGAGCTGTATATTTCCTGGAAGGTAAGAAACAATATCTGCCCAGTTTCCGTATTGTTTTTCTAAATATCTTTGTTATGCTCAAAATCTGAACATTTTGTTATTTTTTAAACAACCCAGTTCTGATTGATTACCCGTTATTTTTTCATGTGATGCAGTAAAAGAGTGAGCAACAAAACAAAGGAGGTGGTGAACTCCACCGTGTCAAGCAGTGCAGGGGAAAAGTTTAGGCTCAAAACGTTTGACAGCATAAAAATAAGTGCAATTCACAACGTTTTGCACATTTTCTTGGCTG